ATTTTCCTCTGTTGATCTCTTGCCAAAATGATGCCAGACAAGATAGTCTTCGGTGAAAGGTGTCATGCCTTTACTTTTTAGTTGATGTGAAGAAATCTTTTCATAGCCCCATTCGACCCAACCACTTTTCCCCGAGAAACAATTGATGAGCAACAGGCCATCGACCAATTTCGGGTATTTCAGGCCATATCGACAAAGAATGCTTGCTCCAGCGCCGATGCCCAGTCCCACAAATGACTTCAATTTAAAATGCGCCACAACATCGCTGACAGCCTCAGCCAAGTCGTCCATACTCGGATCTGAAAAGTCTCAGGAAACTGAGCAGCCTGGTCTTGTTGACCGTGCGCATCGATATGATAGATTGTGAAATACTGCAATATGGGTGCCATTTCAGTGCAATTAAGAAAACTTTGAAAGGCCGAAATGTGGTTCTGTCCGATATCATGAAATGTTATTATGGCCGGTTTGCCTTCCGTACCATGTAACGCGATGTGTAGTTTCCCATGGTTTGTGTCGATTTCCTCCTTGCGAATTAACGACTTCTCTTCGGGGGCATAAAAATTCTGCCCGTCTTCTCGTCAACGAGTTTAATATTCTGCAACTGTAGTTCCTCCATCGATTTTGTCTCCGCTTGTTTCGCGACTTCGTCAATGTTCAATCTTAAATGGAAAGGATTTCAAGTTGTTTTTCTCATGGACCTCTGCTCATGGGATATGCACAGAGAAGCAGAATCTTTCTTCAAAACGTGCACGAAAAACAATTTTAGATTTTGATCAATCAATACGGAAATAAGCATTAACACGAAAACGAGGCTCCAGATCATTGGTATTGAACACATATATCAGTGGTGTTGAAAGGAAAAAAGGAAATTTCAATATTTTGGGAAGGAAATTTTGGTTTGAGGATTTTTGAGGAAGGACCTTGAAGGACCACTGATCAGTTCTGACCAGTGGGAAGGACAGCCTCGTCCCCGGCGCGTGAGAAACACGCGTACGTGGGCGGGAAAAGGGGAAATGTGGAATTAGAGCTGCGCCACAGAGTAGAGACATACAGAGACGTAACTAGTGTACCCACTTTTTTTGTGCGCATGCTCGGCAAGTTACTAGATGCATGCATCTGATTGGATGACGACCTGATGACGACTCACTTTAAACTTGCTGAGCACGCGCAGTTGATCATTTTTCGCCCGGTCGCCTGAAAAAAAGTAGGTACATGATAACGTAATCTTCCGCAGTGTTTACAACGATCAGTTACGTCTCTGTATGTCTTATCTACTCTGTGGCTGCGCGCATATGGCTGCGCGTCGCAAACCCCACGCACGTACTGGAGCCTGGGGACGAGGCTGTGGGCATAGAGATTATAAATAACACTAGAGGAGGCATCGAGTTTAAAAATTGGGAACGCAGCTAATGGGGGGCAAATTCAAGTCCCGGATATAAAATCGTGCTCTCATTGGCTGATTTGAAACTCGTCACCAATAGGAACACGAATACACATCCGGGACTTGAATTTGCCCCCCAATAGTCGCGTTCCCTTTTTTTTACTGAATTAAGATTACAATGCCTCCTCTAGTGTTATTTATAATCTCTATGGCTGTGGGAAGGACGTAAAAAGGAGTTTTTGTTTTAGGAAAGTGGAAGCACTGTTTCTCTTCCAAGACACAGAATAGGAAGTTATACCAGAAGCGTAACTCTAGTCGTTTCCCTTATTGTTTGACGTCCACGAAAATTTTTAACTCGCTCACGTCAGGCCACGCCATCCTGGCTAGTACAGCCGGAAGTTTTTATCAGGTTTTGGTAGGTACAAAGTGCCGGTTGTACTAGCCAGGATGGCGTGATTGATGACGAATCGCTTGTAAAAACGCGGACAAATATTTGCTCGAGTTACGCTTCTGGTATAACTTCCTATTCTGTGTCCAAGATTTCAAGTTTCAACTTTCAAGAAACGAAGAAGCAGTGAACGAAATGGCTGCACTTTATATATTCCGAAATAAAACACATTTTTACCTCGATTTTTACAATATTTAGCTTCTATAAAGATGGACGAAGCCCTTCTGAGGAAGGTTTGCGAGTTTTTGAAAAAGCAAAAGGATAACGAAGCAGTTTTTCAAACGTTTTGGGAAGGGACAAAGGAGTACTATCCAAGCGATTTTTCCAAGAAGAAAGTCGAAGCATTGCTTAAAGAGCACCCTGAATGTTTTGAAATTATCAAAAGTGAAACTGGAAATCCTTTCGGTAAGATAAAATTAAAAATAGAAGCATCTAACTATGTTTTGCCAAGCACAACTAGAGCGGAAGACTTTGAAATTGCACAAAAATTGATCGAATCTATTGATAATAGAGAAGAAAATGGCCATTTGTTTGCGAATATTTGTAAAAATAAAGCTCAGATATTTCCCGAGAAGTTACGAGATAAGAAACATATCAGAAAGTGGTTGGCAGAGCATGAAAAGTGGTTTAAAGGAGTGAAAGATGCTACTGGTGGGCTTTTTTCAGTTGAAGTGCTGGGTAACGCGAGACATTTAATGAAATCTGGGCTGCCATTGCTACCAGTATTAACGAGCGAAAGAAAAGATAGCCGTGGCAAAACAGCGCCTCAGAAAGCAAAAGATGACACTGATTCAGTTGATCTTTTGGAAATGGCAGATAATATTACGTTGAGAATCTCTGGGAAACTTCAAAACGAAGGAGGGACAATCCCATTTGAGTCTCTGCTCAAAGCAAAGGATGTAATCTATCCCTTATGTGAGGAAGAAGCCTTAATATCCTTCTTGGCAGCTTTCCCTTTGAAATTTGAGATCATTGATTTAGAAGGGTTAGGTAAGTGGGTTCATTTGAAAGGAACTAAAGATGTCAGTGCTAACGATGCCAGTGCTAACGATGCCATCAGTAAAGTAACAAGTTTTATTTTTCAAAATGGTGGAACCATCCCATTCACAAATCTTGTTAAGCAAGCAGACACGCTGATAGGTAAAACAGTCCATGGTCCACAAATATTGTCAGCATGGTTGAACACTAAAGCTAACATTTTTGAGATTGTCCCAAAACCAGACGATCCCTCTAAACCAGGGCAAGTTAAAGTTAAACTCAGTTTTTTTCTACGTTTTTGCCAGCATTACATTACACATGGTCAATGTCCTAAGAACAAATGTCAGTTTCTGCATATATGCAAGGCTTTTGTATGCCAACGTCCTCATAATAATGAAGACTGCAAGCTGTCACATGATATCCGAGATGCACACAACAAAGTTATTGTTGATAAGATGGGTGCCCTGAGCAAAGAAACTGATGCAGTTGTCATCAATGTGCTCTTAGAGAGTTGCTTCCCCCATGTTTGTCCCGAGTACAACAACAAAAATGGTGCGTGTCCAAGGGGTGACAAATGTCATTTTTTACATATTTGTGGTGATTATGTCTTAAATCAATGTGGAAATCCTTTCTGTCCATTAAGTCATGATGTGGTTGATGATTTACATAATATTAATTTGTTGAAGAAGTATGCTCTGCTCCCATCTCAGAAATTATCAGTAGAACTTGTCAAGGCTAACATTGCTTATGTAAAAGGAATGAAATCACAGCCCAGTCAGATTGCTATCTCTGAGAAAACTTGTTTGGCTGCTGGTGACTTGGGCAATATCGCAGTTCCCACTTCAGGTCAAGCAAGGCCATTATTGAGCTTTGAAAATATTTGGACGTTTCTTACCCAGAAAGTTGAAAGTTGGATGAGAAGTCCCACACAACAGGAAGCAGAACGTGGGTTTGGAAATCCTGTCCAACGTAAACAGTCTGACTCTACATTGATTTCTAAGACTTCTCATGTTAGCAATCGGAGTTCCATAGTTAGTTCTGAAAGTTCAGTTTGGCATGATGATTTTACCCAGAAGGTTGATATTCCAGGTAATTCAGTTCATTATAATGTACACTTTGTGGATTCATAGCTTTTCAGGGATGCTGCATCTTGCAGGTATTTGTACACACTTCCCTTGAGAAGTGTGCCTCTGTTGCACTTGGCAGTATTCAAGTGTATCAGATCCTGTCTATCCCTATCTATCTGTATCTGCCCCTATCAAAGCTCCCCTTGTTTTCAAAGATATATGCATCTGCATTTCTTTTTGAGATCTCTCTGCATTTAGTAATTTCAGCTCCTAACTTTGATGGGAATATAACCGTATCAGAGGTATGTCTCCCTCTTTAGGAACCTAGCTACCCTAGCCACCCTCTTTGGAGATATGTCCTCATTCAAAGACATCCACCCCCTTCAGCTTTCAGGGCTCTGTCCTAATGAATTGCAGTGTGTAAATTTGCTTTACAATTTATTAGCCCAAGAAATAGAAGAAGTCACTCATATTTGTCCTCAGTTTCTGATGCAGCAGTGTTGCCATAAGAAGTGTTCACATGTTCATTTTACTTTGCCCTATTGCTGGCAGTTGAAGCTATCAAGAAGTTCATGGCAAAGTTTTGATAACACAGATTGTGAGAATATTGAGAAATATTTTTGTGATGTCAACTGCACTGCTGCAGAATTGAATATTTCAACAAACATACCTGGATATGCATCGAGGTATGCACAGGAATTTATGCTTATTAATATAGGCTTGATTCGTACTTAGAGAGTTTCAGATTTCACTTCAACCAGTGTCACTGCTACTATTAACGAATCAGATGCGTAATTATATTTTCTTCAACAGTGTTCGTTTAGACTTCCAGTCAATGTCAATCCATTTTTCTGCTGGTGAAGATTTTAAAATCCGTCGTTTGGAGTGTCGACAAAGGAAGACCCAGTATGGAAGGGAGGCTTGGTATGAAACACCTTGGATGTGGTATGAACTGGAATCAACAGGATGGATTAAGTGTGAAACTAGTAAAGTAAGTCATTGTGATCAGTGAGTAACACAGAAAGCTTCAGACAATATAATATGTTTGTTATTTTTAGGCACATGTGTTTGAGAAATTATTCTTGGATGGCAGCTTTCTGATTGATTGGTGGTCAAGTCATCGACGTAGACCTGCTGCTTTTTTGACAGAGAGCGAAGTTCGTGAGAAAAAGAGGTAAAGAAAAGAGTTGGAATATTGTAT